AAAAAAAAAAAAAAAAAAAAAAAAAAAAACTTGATTCTCTCCTTGGTGTCTCGCGCGAGATCAACGAGATCTCCCTCTAACACGTCGACACGCGACCATCGCGTTACTTTTCGTTCTCACATATCTCTCTCTTCCTTCTGCTGTCCCCCTTTTCTCTGGGTTTTTGTTTCCCGCTCGTGGAGCACGCGCGCGCCTTTAGGAGACGTGTGAATCTCGCCCCCCTTCGTCTCCTAATTCCCGTCGAGTGCATATTCGGGAATAACGGAAGGCGTAACAAGCTAATGTAGTCGTGTGCGGGTGTGATTAAAACCGCTGAGTTGGTTGGTTTGAGATTTGCTTGATCCTCTCATAACGCATCCCTTCGACTGTACATGGGTTACGTGAAAATATTTGTTATCCCCTTCACACCTTTACGTTTACACACCGTTACTCTGCGTAACAATAGCTTTTAATTTGCGATCGAAGTACACTTGTTTGTGGAACAATGCTACCATGTAGATAGCGCATATTTGACTCGGCTGATTTGTCTTCTCTCTCTCTTGGTTTCTACCTCGTTTTATCCTTGTGCATGTTGTTCTCGCTGTTAAAAAACCTTGCGCGACTCTGTATCTCTCCACTGATTGTGTTTGCGGTAATTGAGTTGAAAATGGACTTTTGCTAGTGCAGTTTTTCTTTACTCTCTCTACGTACGGAATAGTAATCTTTCTTCCTAGAGCTTTGAAGCGGCATCCCGTGACGTGTTTCGCTCTGGAGTCCCTCAAAACGGCAAAGTCGTCTCTGTTGCAGTATCGACAAGCGGTTAAGTCACCTCCCCCGTTTGCGCTCCAACAGAAGCAGAGGTCTTTCTTGACTTTCGGATTCGGGGCCGGCCCGGCGAGGAGAGAGTCGCACGTGAACGTTAACGTGACTCCGACCAGCCACGATTTAGCGTCGGACACGCCCGAGATACGCAAATACAAGAAGCGTTTCAACAGCGAGATACTCTGTGCCGCATTGTGGGGTGAATACAGCTGTCAAGAAATAAACGCGCAAACGGACTTGGATATTTATTCATTCGGTCTTTTTATTTGCAGGAGTCAATCTGTTAATCGGCACCGAGAACGGCCTGATGTTATTAGACAGGAGCGGGCAAGGTAAGGTTTACCAATTAATCAGCAGAAGACGCTTTCAACAGATGGAGGTACTCGAGGGCCAGAATATTCTTGTGACGATCAGCGGCAAGAAAAATCGGGTACGCGTCTATTACCTCTCCTGGCTGAAGAGCAAGATCCTGCGTACGGATGGCCACAGCGACGTAAGTTGCTCTTCGCGTATCGTAAAGCTCTCTCTCCTCTCTTTGTGAAGGCGCGTTTATCGTACTTATCTCTTTATTGAGCGTATCGTTATTTATATTCGCAGCAAGTCGAACGGCGCAACGGTTGGATTAACGTGGGCGATCTGCAGGGTGCTGTGCATTTTAAGATAGTGAAATACGAGAGGATAAAGTTCCTCGTGATCGCGCTGAAAGATTCCATAGAGATTTACGCGTGGGCGCCGAAGCCGTATCACAAATTTATGGCTTTTAAGTCTTTCGGCGAGCTCGCGCACAGGCCGCTCTTGGTCGATCTTACGGTCGAGGAGGGTACAAGGTTAAAGGTGATTTACGGTAGTGCAGACGGCTTTCACGCGGTCGACTTGGACTCCGCCACGGTTTACGACATATATCTACCGAAACATGTAAGACAGGGACATTGAATTCATACTCTCACCTCCTTCGAACGTTACATTATAGAACACGTATTAATCTCTTGCACTTTCCCGACCTTTCAGACTCAAGGTCCCATTTGCCCGCATTGTATAGTGGCGTTACCAAACAGCAATGGCATGCAGTTGCTCCTCTGCTACGATAACGAGGGCGTATACGTAAATACGTACGGTAGGGTCTCGAAGACGATGGTCCTTCAATGGGGTGAGATGCCCACCAGCGTCGCGTATATCGGTACGGGACAAATTATGGGCTGGGGAAACAAGGCGATCGAGATTAGAAGTGTCGAAAGCGGCCACCTCGACGGTGTCTTCATGCACAAGAAGGCTCAACGGCTCAAGTTCCTCTGCGAACGTAACGATAAGGTACGCGCTTCGAATAGCATCGTCATCACCTTACTCCGCTTCGTTTTAGATGCGGTTCTTATACACTTTCATTTTTTATCTATATGTACTTTTACATGAAAAGGATCGTGCTTGAAAGGATTACGTTCTTAGCGCACTTTGCTCTTCCTAGGTATTCTTCTCGTCGGCGAAGGGCGGTAGTTCGTGCCAGATTTACTTCATGACTCTAAACAAACCGGGCATGGCCAACTGGTGATCCCGAATGAGGCCGAATCTGGCCCCATCACGATTACCTACGCGAACACAACCGTCGCACCACAACCCTCCACGTGTATCGGGATACACAGCGTCAGCGCGCACACTCACCGCTCGTTCTTCACTGCCAGGATCCAGCGCCTTGGAGACCAGGAAGTGCGTGCATCGTATCCACAATCCTTATCAATATCACCAACTACAACAGCAGCAGCAGTATCATCATTATCAACATCAGCAACATCAATATCGTCAGCATCGTTATCATTATTCACGTAATCTTTCGTACAGTTACGACTATGAGGAAGACGAAGAGTACGATGACAGATTCCAACGGTACTCTCGGCTGCCTCACCTGCGAAGCGCACCTGGGACGTTAACGTTTGTGAATCTACTCGTCAAAAGATTTCTCTGTTTTCTCACTTGCTCGCCCTGCGGACTGCGCGGCGCGGCCTAAACGTGCTGAAAAGCAGAGAGCGGATTCCCCTTCGGGAAGCGCGCACGGCGAATTACATTGCACGCTGGTAAATCGTATTACAAAAGTATTCTCTATACATGTATTATTTCTCTCTTTTCATTTTTAACATAAATTTATCGCTTTAATTATACTACACTCTCTACCGATAAGTCTGTTTGGTATGTACACGTAAACTCTTAATTCCCGAAGGAACCCTAATGTTACGACAGAACAAAGTGTATTTTACTGCGTCTGATCGAATAGGTAATGACATAAGAGTGTTTTATACGGTGAATAATTTAGAACGACGTAATAAAGCATAAACTTTATTTGTGCTGATCTTTCTAGTATGCGAGAGAGTAGAAGATAGTCGTAAGGACAGTGCTGACGAATTACCAGTGACGCATAACCAGTCGATCGTATCGCGCAACGACTATTTCCAGTATATGGAGACTCGTGCAATATTCGGCGAATTGGCCTGTATAACAGGCAGACCTGCGAGAGATTGGGGAACAGAGAGAGGAGGAAAAAGGGAGACTTTCCTTGCCGTCAATCGAGACAAGGAAACGCTCTGGTAATCGAATCACGTGTGTCGTCGAAGAAAATCACGAGGAAATGAAAGAACAAGAAGCCTGCGGCGCTGTCCACGCTCGTGATTTTTCTCCGGCGACGTAGTTTGTTAATTTTTTTCAGTGAGAGGTATTCCGTTGCGGTCTCGATCCGCGTTAGCGACGAGTAGCGACGACGATTTTAGTGAGAACGAAAGAGAAAAACGTAACTAGGCAAACGAACGTGTCAGGCCGAGGCGCACCACCGATAAGACGAAGACGACACATCGTGACGTACGACGCGATATCATGATAAAAGTTAGTACTAAGCGAGAGTAATTACTAATGTTAATTAATTGTATAGCTATAGCAGGTGGGGGATTCTTTCCGCCGTGGCTCACGCGGTCAAGTGCGAAAGCGATGACGACGACGACGACGACGATGTGAGTCGAAGGTGACGCGGTAGAGGCATTGTGTGGACGAATCGCATTTTTACAAAAAAAAAGAAAATAGATTAATTATATACCCGTAGGGATTTCGTGACACACGGTGTGACGAGACTACGTGTAGCTGAGTTTCTGTTTCTCCACGGTATCTTCGAGTGAACTTTTTCTTTACGTTTGATACGCGTTCTTGTATTTTAGAACATATATACACGGAAGGGGAATGCCTTTTTCTCTTGTGGATCAAAAGTATGTCCAAGTTGCGCGTGAGAAGGGAGACAAGGACTAAAAGTCCTCTGTGCGCATGCACTGAAATTGTAGAGTATAGAAACCGTCGAAACTGTTGGCCGGCAACGATTTAGATGCGTGTGTGCAGAAGTCGGTTAGTCCAAGTTTTTCTCTCTCTCCTTTCTCTCCTCCACCTTCGTCTCTCACAATCTTTTATTTTTTCACGCAACTTGAACACACTCTTTCAGTGCCCGTATTTCTCTTCTATGTATATATATACATATACATATATATATATATATATATATATATATATATATATATATATATATATATATATATATATATATATATATATATATATATATA